GTTGACCTTCCAGCAGGTTTTCAGAGCCTGTAGTGTGGGAGATTACTGCAGAGCATCTGGTGGATTTGAACCATGTACCTTTGGGTTGGCAGCACAGCTCTTTACTACTCTGCCACTAGAGCTTCTAAATAGGGAGCCCTGATGGTACTTGAATAAGCTCATCTTCAACTCCAGGATCTAAACACAAAAGAGAACAAGTGTTATCTAGACAGGTGAGAGAACAAGTAGCGCCCTGAGGAGAAAACAATGCAGGCAAGAATAAATGACATACTCTTGTGTGTTCATTTCTTAGCCTCTACCTCATTCCTAACAGTCATCCCAAAATGGGGCTGGTAGGCAGTGAAGTATGGTGAGGGGGTAGGGAAGATGTGTGCACCTCATCTTGCTAACAGAGTTATGTAAGCAGAATCAGGTTAAGAACATATTTAGGTTCAAAATATGGTGTTTGGCACATGACCCTAACTCCCACAACACTTAAGAATAAAAGTGTGTGTAGGACACCGTGTTGGCATCCAACAGGTGTTCAAATAAGGATGACAGAATATAAAGCAGTAAACGCATTGAAGTTAGAACTGAATTTAAACCACAGCCAGTTGTTACCAGTTCTTCACTGGTAGTTTCATTTACTTCAGTGGTTCTCAAATCTGAGCCTCAATCACTGAGAATCTGTGAAAATAGACTCTCCTCAGATGGACACTCAGGTGGACACTGGGCAGTACTAATGTGGAGCATGTCTGCCACACCAAGTAAAATCCACTGGTACATTTCAGCCAAAATGGAAAACTATTAAGGGACTTCATGAACCCAAGACAGGGCATTATGAAAGACTCATAAAACAAAGGGGTAGGGACTGTCATCTGTCGTGGCTTATTCTTGGTTTCAATGGCCTCAGCTATGGAATAAAAGGGCAGGGGTTTGTGTGCAAGAGGACTTGGGGAAGTCTTTACTTGCTGTTTGTCAAACCACCACTGGAAGCAGTTACCAGCCCTACTGCCGGCTCTTCCTCGAGACAAGGAGCCTGTGGGAGACAGCAAGGGCACTCCTGGGGCCCCTCAGGGCTTTGACTGCCGTCTGGCCTCTTACTCTTCCCCTGACATGTGAATACCCTTCCCTAATCATACTTGAATCTAAAACAGTTTTAATTCCATGCAGAAAGAGAACAAAAAGCATCTAGTTTTATAGGCATTTAATTGTTTACCAATTGGTACAATAAGATTTTTTAATATGCAGAAAACATGAATAAATTTTGTTTTACACAGTCTGAGAGCAACAAATCTTACTGTAAAACACAAGAGCAATATTATATACATTCCTTTACTGATTTAAAATTGTGTCAATATCTTAACTCTTACAATCTGGGGAACTGTTTTCTCCGATACCACTTCTCCAATGTTCATATGAAATCAATGCTGGCCTTCATGTCAGTGTCAGGATCAACTTCTAGCCCGAAGACTTTGTGTTTGTTTCTAACATCTTCAGAATGAGCTTTAGGTATGCCCGAAGGATAGGCAGGACAAGAAAGCAGCTACTTACATGATAAAGTGGAAAGATAAAAAGGCCAGTTCAGTCCAGTTGTGACTTGTAAATCCATCCTGCCCTCCCCCCTACCCTGCTGGAAATAAAAACCAAAACCTTTTCCATCAATCTTGTACATATCACTTCTCTACCAGATTCTTCTTTGCATCATCTAGGTTAATTAACACATTGGACTCACATACGGCTGGACAGAAAAATGTAACCATTTTAATAAGTGCCTTTTCTGTCAACATTTTTTTTTAAAAAAATTCAGTTGCTTAAGGATTATCAAGCCACCACTGTCAACAAAACAATATCCTTTACTTTTAAATAGGTTTTTTTTTCTTTTTTCTCAATAAGTTAAAAAAAAAACAAAATAACAACCAAAAACCTGTTTAGTGAGTGATATTACCTGGAATTTCACATAGAAACAGAAAGAGGCGACAGGAGAGCAGGGCACTGACGAGGAGACGGCGCGGTGAATCTAGAGCCAAAGCTTCTCAAAGACTACAGCAAGCAAGCGCGCGAGCGCTTCACAGCCGGGACGACTTGCTAACACTAGTGATTTTTATAGTAGTGCTCTGGGCACACCATTGGTCACACCACATGTAGACACAACAGGACGGTCTTAGTCTCCTAAAGTGCAAGATGCCATGTAAAACAGCAACTATTCTCCATGTGATGTCTCACCATAGCTTACGTGGCTTACACTTTTAAGAGTGCAGCTAGGACTTCTTGGGCACGAGAAATCAGGGTGGCACTGGAATGTCTGTTCAGGTCTTCATACACACACGCACACAAGTAAAAAATCATCTGAGGATGCAGTTCTATTTTATTTCTTAAATAGATGGCCAATTTGATTAAGAAGGTGACAAAGCAGCAGTGAACCTCTAAACCAATTAATAGTTCCTCTACAATCCAAACCAGTAACCTCATCATTGTACTTATCCCAGGCAAGGCACAGGGTTAGACAGCAGACAGAGAAAATGGAGAGAACAGGAAGAAAGGGCATCAACAGGGCAGTGTCAAACAACAGTTCAGGAAACCTTTGCAAATCTGATTCCGGATTGTGGATGGATCGCTCTCCCCCACCCTCCTTCATTATTCAAACAGGGCTCGTTACATTAGGATCCAGTTGAGGACCATCCCTGAGATTCAATGTTCGCTGCTTCTGAAATGGAGGATGTCTGGTAACAACTAAGCAGCAGGCTGTGGCAATCTCGCAAGTAAGGATAACTTTGCTTACAGAATAATTTTGTTTTTCCTCCTTTGTCAACAAAAGTCACTGTAGGCTGCAGGGAAGAAACTCAGCAGACAAGCAGCTTTGTTTCCTCCAAAATTGGTACCATTATTTTCCTTTATTGTTCATCTCTATGAATGATTTCTAGATGTTGTGGCTTACCCTTGAACAATTCATGTTGCTACATGCTAAAAATGAATTAAAATACAAGACATTTATACATGTACAAATAAATGTTAAGATGCACCATTTCTATGTATTAGGATTTCTCAAAATAGGACAGGAAATAGCAGCAAACAAGAACAAAGATATTTTCCATAGCTTTTGTAGAAAATCCAGTCAGACAGCTAAGGGGCAGGGCAGACTCCTCAATGTAAGCAGGGCCGTGAGGCAACATTGTCCTGGAGGTTATTCTACTGTATTTAAGGAGTTAGCTTAAATTATAATGTATTATCCTTAAATATAGCCATTAGTTTTCAAAACACTTTCTTCCAGAGAAGTTGCTCATGAATTTTTTTTTTTCCCAAAAAACAAACATAAGCTGGACATTAAGCTGCTTCTAGTAAACGTATGGCCTTTACTCTGAGGCCATTTCTACAGGACATTAACTCTCGCCCTTTGTCTTTTTCAGGAACTGGATTTCCATGAAAACACTAAATGGGACATTTTAAAAAATCACATATTACAGAAATAAAATGTAGTTCAGAATAAATTTATCTTTGTTAAACTGTGTTATTTCATTGTTTTGTTAACTTCTCAAAAGACCTTTTGGAAGAAAAACCAGTTTTTAAAAACCACTCTGTTGGTTAACTAAGCAATGGATGAGTTTTTTTATTAATAACCTGCAATAGAATATTGTTCCAAAATTCATGGATAAAAATTTTCTTCATCTACTTGTAGTAACTTTGGATCAAAATATACAATACACCAGGGATGTGTAAAATGCTAAATGGCCCAATTAGGTGGGAAAAGGAACTAGAGATTTTCCCCCAACAGAGAAAATTCTCATCACTTTTTCTGAAACATCAGGATCAAATGAATTTGTAATTCTATGATTTAGCACTTCTTTAAAAAACCCCAGGACTCAAGTATAGGAAAATGGTATGTGTATGATAGACATATACAGACCCATTCACTTACAGATAGGCCCATATATTCACAAACATTACTTATAAAAGAAAAGTGAAAACAGTACATTTTTATGCATGTTCTAGGAAACTAAATTTTTAGCCTTGTAATTTAGACATAGTTCAAACTGATAACAGATTCATGTTGAAAACCAACTTCCTCCACTCCCTAAAAATGGGCCAATATAACCTTTCCAATATTTTTCTGTCATCACATAATGCACATTGCACATCCCTAAAAAATATCAAGAACAAATAGTGATTTGTACCATGACACACACAATGGGAAGATTTAAGTTCTACTTGGAAGTCGTATCACTATACAGTCTAACTGTGGAGAAAACTATAAGTATGTCTAGTGTGGAAAAGAAAAGCTTAAGAGTATTACAGTGTTTGTTTTTGTTGTTGTTTTAAATCTGTTTACAAAGCATTATGACCCAAATGCGACAAATGACTTGATATTAGATGCTGAAATTTTTCTTATTTGAGATTTACAGACATTTTACGATTAGCCTTTGCTCACTAGGCTGCCAAAACTTATCCTATTGATTTGGCAAATGAGTCATTACAAAAATTCCAATGTGTAATCCCCATTAATTACATAGATGGTTTAGAAGATTTTGAATTGTAGGCTTATTATCTAACATCCTTAAAGAAGAGTTATTAAGCACACTTAAGTGATGTTACATAGATACACATTTCAGAAAAAGCTCTAACCACCACCACTTTCCCCCAAAAGAGGCCATCAAATCAGGCACCAACAGACAGCAGAAAGAAAAAGAGGAATTAATAAACCAACATAAAATGACACTGTCAACTATTCAGTTTAGTGCCCTAGTTCAATTTATTCAACTTCAGCCTTCTTAGGCCTGGTGTGACCAATGCCAGCCCAGGTTTTTAAACCCTATGGTACTTCTAGACAACGTATGTAAATTTACAGTATACAATTTGGATTCACCATGCATGAATACTTTGTGTGTAACATTTAATAAGCTCAATCTACATCCAGAATAATTTACATGAAAGGACAATATTTATTTAAACAGAGCTCAATGGGGTAACCATGGTATCATCAGAGTGCATCCAGAGGAAAAAGGGAGGGGCCAAATGAGAATCAATCAACGGCACTCCCACACCTTTACTGTTTGATCTACACTGCCAGTAACCACATATGGTGCCGTCTTATGGAAATCTGGAAGAAAAAGGAAAGGTTCATTTTAAAATCACATTTGAGTTAGATAACAGTTTTGAATGAGTCACAAAAATAGGCAAGTTCAAAGCCAGGAGATCCACTTTTTACATACCTACACCTCCCTACCCAGAAGGTATCGTTAAGCTTACCAACTGAGTTAGGGAAGTTGAGATTCAGTAACTAAATCCTACTTGACTCCTGACTGCATATGCTAAACCTCATTCCAGCTGAGTAAACACTCAGATCTCAGGATAAACTCAATGAATCTTCTTACGGAACACTATGCTCCAGGTTTAGTATTAAAAGCGCTGCAATCACATTTTAAGTCATGTAACAATCTTGAGAGGTATTAGCCTGATCTTACTGAGGCTTATCTCCATCCTTAGCTGTGTCAATTCTTATTCCAAGTGACCGTACAGGGCAGGTGCAATGGCCAGGAGCGCTTCCTAGGCTGTAAACTTTCTCAGAGCACATAACCAGTATTTTCTCCTAGAGTTTAGAGAGAAAGATGGGTTCCAATCTCTATTTACAGTCTGCAATCAAGCACTTAACTACTGCACCATCAGGGATACTTCATCATGTTCTAGTCTGTTTTTAAAAAACTTATTACTTGATACAGTACACAAAAGACAGTCAACAAGCACCATCACTGTTTACTGCTCACCACTATTTAAGAAACAAGTGATTCAAAATATTCTAAGAATAATAAAAATGTTGTCCATGGATCTAAGGCTTTGCTAGTTCAACTGTGGAACCTGGCCCAATGGGTATGGAATTACTTGGGGTATTTATTAGGAATAAGGACTCTCCAGTCCTACCCCAAACCTATGGAATTTAAAAATCTGCATTTTAGTAAGATCTTCAAGGTGTAATAATATGTATGTGTAATAATTTAAACAGCACTGGTCTAGGGGATTTATCAAAAATTATGGTCAACTCAATGCCCACCCATAGTAATTCTCTTAATGAATTTCTAAAGCCTTAACTTTTTTTTTTTAACAAGTTGGACAGATAATATGTCCAGGTCATAACAAGGCTTACGGTTGGCATATATCATACAAATGCATGAACACCCAATCATCATGCTCATGAAATAGAAAAGGATCAGGCCTTAACTTCTTAAAAAATTATTTTTTTTGACTGAAAATTTAGAATACTGTTTTTTCATACAACCACCCATTGTGTTTTATAATGTTAATTAACACTGCTCAATACAGCTGATCAGTTCTAATGTCTCATTAACCCCTTACAGTACATCTTTCCCCTCACTCAACTTACCCTAAGCTGTAAAACCATCAATTATTTTTTTTTAAAAAAAAGGAAAAATGGCTGCCAAGAGCCATGACTCAGGCCTTGACTTCACACTAGGCTGTAAATCTTAATGGGAGAAGACTGCCTATCTTTTTCCTGCTGGTTAACTCAAAACACCAAGACACAAGGCTTTGTGGTTGGCAGTGCAACACACTAGGGACTACGTCACCAGAGCACTTCAAGGGATGTGTTAGAACACAAAAATATTTTTTGATATCTCATCTCCTTGAAACATATATTTCAAGGCTTAGGGGGAAAATTACTTGAAAACCCATTAAAATCACTGTGGTTGAGCTGGCTTTGACTCTGAGTGACCCTCCACAGGTTTCTGGGACTGTAAGTTGTAATGAGGAAAGACTGTTCATCTTTCTCCCTCACAGCTGCTAATAGATTCAGACTATAGGGACGTGTGTGCCCTTTGGGTTAGCAGCAAAACTGGCTATACACTATACCACCAGAGCACCCTAACACATACTCTAGTGCATTATATTTTACTGTATTAACTACCTTAAACTCTTCAAGGACAGATGCTGAAGATATTTATTAAAATACAATTCCTTGAGTTCCTAGTATGTGAGAGTATTATTACCTGTCACTGGGAAAAGGGAGGAATGAGTGCTTTCAGATTTTTTTTTAAATTACCACCAAAACCCAAAACTCTAAAACCAAATACAGTGGTCAGTTAAGTTTCGTTTTCATGATTCTAGTTTCTGAAACCAATGCTGAAAAGGGGGAATGTAATTTTTTATTTCAGGCTGATAATGGAGAGTTAATACGGGAAGAAAAATTCCAAATTTATGGGAAGAATCCAAAGAGTTTAAATCTGCATTTTTCTAAAACATATGATTATTTCTTACCTAGAAAAGTCCATGCAGTTACATAAAACTTTGTTTGGCATGTCATAACCAATTGCTCAGAAACCTCATAATGTGTACATACCCAAGGAGGTAACAAAGTGTTCGTGCGCATTGAGGGTCTTCATGCATCGCTTGTTCTTGTAATCCCATACACGTAGGGTCTTGTCATCAGCACAACTCAAAATAAACTTTCCCCCAGAATGGAACAGAACTCCACGTACCCAGTTATCATGACCCACCTTAAAAACAAAAAGGACCTGACTGGAACAACTAGAGAAAATCTGAATATAAACTACATAAAAATGTTAAGATTTAGTGAATGTGTAATTTTATTGTGGTTTCATCAAAGAATATGCTTATTCTTAGAAAGTTCATGCTAAAATATGTGGCATAAAGTGCTGTCATGGTGATGTAATACACTCTCAAATGGTTCAGTGTCATGTACACATACATCATACATGAATGTACGCCTACAAACTTGGGCACGTGCACAGAGAAAGTGTTAACTATGACTCTTTGATTAATGTACAGGTATTCACTGTACTGTTCCTATATATTCCCAGTAGGCACACATTTCTCACTGAACAAAAGGTTAAAAGAAAAGTTCTAACGCATGTCTATTCCCTTCCCCATCTAGCTATATCCCATGCCTTAGCAGTTACATTTTTTTAAATTTATCCCAAGACATAAGGATATGTTCAGTGGTTTAATTAATAACTCTGATCATCAAAATATGGCAATTAGTGTAAAAGCGTAGTATCTAACACTGTGAGAACCGTAATTAAGATTTCTGTTCCTTAGGTCTTCCTAGCTACCATACTGGGTAAGGCAGATATAGAACATGTCATAAAAAGCTTTACTGGCTAGCTTTCGTCTAGAAAAAGAAAAAAGTGTGACAGGATAATCTGAAAAAAAAAAATCATTTTTAAAAAATTCTTTCTTTTCCAAACTTCCTATTATAAAATTAAAATAACTAAATTTAAGGAAATTATCTTTAAATACAGTAAAGACGCAAAAAAATCAGTAAGACTGCACTTACAAGGGTCATAAGGCACATGCCAGTACTGACATCCCACATCTTAATAGTCTTGTCTCTAGATCCAGACAGCAAGAATGGTCCAGGCTTGCCACT